CATGTTCTCCTCAGAGATTTCCTGTCTCCTTCCACACGTAGAACACAAGTAAACACCCAGCACAAGAGAAGGCAAATTGGTTGTGACTTTCCAGAGAAGCAGCACCAAGCCCTGCAGCTGGCACGCTGCCTTCCCAATGGGCACAGCCTCATCCTGCCCAAAACATTTACTCTGAAAAAAGTCACCTTCAAGGGAAGCAGCTCCCAGTCCCAACACAAGTGTGCAGCACCTAGCCAGTCCTGACCCCTTATTAGCCATGATTAATGCAGGTGGGTGAGCTTGGAAGGCAGGAAGTGCTAAATCCAGAGTGGATTCCAGCTTGTCTTCAGCACATTTATAACTTCCCACCTGCTCTCCTCAAGCTGCTGACAGGCTCCTGCACAAAGGGGAGAAGGCCCACACCACAATAAAAACATTATGCACATGCAACCAGAGGTTAGCAACCTGTCCTTTAAAACTACTAGAACACTTCTGCAAGACCCCAGCTGGGGAGTCAAACCATGTACTAGTCCCAGCCAGAATCCCAAAACTAAGCTTTCACTAGCTGACAACTTGATAGCAGGACTGCTTGAAACAGAAACTCTCCTGGTATCACATGGAAGGTTCCTTCCTGGGACAGCACTGCCTTTAAACCAGCTTTTAGCTGCCATAGCTGTTCCATAAGGAACCAGCCCCCCTGGGTACACCCCAGACCCCTTCTGTGACAGGCTGCACAAAGCCCACAAGCCAGGCCAGGCCACTCTCTGGCCCACACAGCTTCTTACACACTTAAATCCACTAACACCTGCTTTTCCTCCCCAGTTACATCTCAGGACACAGCACACACTGTCCCAGCAAAAGCTGTGCTGCTAAAAGCACCAAAACACTTGGGATACCTCAGCATTTACCAAAACATTCCCTTGGGATTCTTCACAAGTTTCCCTGGCTTCTACTCTCAGAAAAACAGACTGCTAGAACACATAACCAAACATCCTACCTGGCAGAGCAGAGTGCAGAGTACATGTTCTGCCTCACAAGAAACAGGGAAAAAATAAAAAGAAAGAAATCACATGTCCCACTCCAAGAGGAGAAACAGTTTAATTCCTAATCCAAATGTCACTGGTCAGCTGATTAGCAGCTGGTCCTTGGCTGAAACTAGAAAGCAGTAACTCACAAAATACACTTCAAAGCAGTGTATTGAACCCAACCACACTGGAATTGAGTTGAGGATCACGTAAATCTGTAAAACGTTCCTCAGATGGGGTTTGCTTTAAAGTGAAATTATTTCAGAGGAAGCTCACGTGTGTTTTCAGTGACTTCAGGTTATGGTGCTGCAGGGAAGGGAGGTGCCAAGGGTGAGCAGGGCAGGGGTCAGCAGAAACCCTCTGCACTCAGGGCAGCCCACCCCACCAGGCTGGGCATTCACAGCCTCTCCCAGCTGCTCCCCACATGCACTGGCCTGCAGGTCTGCTAAGGAAATTCAGGGTGAAGTCCACAGTGTCCCTCTTTTCAAAACAGAGGAAAAATACAGCTGGCAAATGTAAGATGATTTTGTGACTTTGCACTGGTTTGTAATACCAACCATTAAATGCTTTCAAATCAACACTAGCTACAGCACACAGGCACATACCCGAAAAACTTAAGCGAGTCAGCCAACAATCATTAAACCTGAATCCTTTACTTACACACTTGAAGGGGAAAAGACTTTCAAACAAGTACAACTCATTTTTAAAGCAGCTTTTCACAGACCTGCAGGAATGCAGCCTGTACTTTCTGCTAGAAGCAGAGCAAGACAAAACCCTGCTCAAGCACATGCCCCATCAATGTTTACACACCTCGGGTCAGCTCAGCACTCTCTCACAACACTGTGAGTACAGAGTCACACAAAACACAGCGGCCCTCAGAAATGGGACACTGGGGCAATCCCCACCCTGTTTTAGCTCAGAGGAGTACCCGTGCCTTGTGGTACTTTGCCACACACCTCTCCCAAACTCCTTAGCAAATCCCTCATTTATGGCAACATCCTTCTCAACGTTTCTGCTGCTTTGATCCCTATCAGAGGGACACCAAACTCCCTAGAGCTCCAGCATGGGAGCTCTGGAGTGAGGTTTTGTTGTTTGTGTAGGGTTTGTGTTTATTTTGTTTGTGTAGGGTTTTCCCCCTACACACAGGCAGAAACAAAGAGCAGGATCTGATTTGATACAACGCAATTTTGGTTTATTTTCAGAAAGAAAACAGCAAGACAACAGCCTGACTCAGCCCCACACTGCAAGAGCTCCTGGGGATTGCATTCAGCTCTGTGAAACACCACTCACCCCAAAACCAGCCACAAGGCCCCTCAGCCCATACTGGGGCACTGTGTGACTTTAAACCTGACCCTGCAGACCCCCAGGGCCAGCAGCACTGCCCTCCCACCACAGATAATCCTTCTGCAAACTCTGAGGGGAATTTTTCAAGAGCTTATTTGTGCTATTATATAGATTAGAGCAGGAGAGCTACAAAGACTGAGCTAGGTACCACCTATTGCAACACGCTGTTTGTAAAAAACCCACTGATTCACCATATCCTGACACCACAACCAACCCCTCAAATTCCTTCTACATTATTCCCATCTACTTCCTTCTAAAAAGGAAGGGATGTTCCTCCCTGCCGAGGCAGCCAAGCATCCAGACAGAACTATTTTTCGGGGTGAGGGGTGCTCCTAACCAGAGCAGGTACTTTGGGAGATCCACACAAGAGCCCAGAGGCATATGGAGCCATTTGCCACCTGGCACAGGCAGTGCTGCAGCCAGGGCACACTCCTCATCAGCAGGGTTGCTCAGCAGAATTCAGGGTGACCAGGCACAGCTCTGACAGCAAATCACAACATTTCAATTCCAAAACTTCTGGTTCAACTCAAGTCTCCTCTGCACCATTCATCACTGCATCGGTTCTCTCTTTAAGCCACTTTTACATCTATTTTTGTTTCATGTTTCACAGGCTGCACCTAAACACAGGCCTCCCCACTCCCTCCTAAAGCAACGGGGATGACAGGTCCTTCCTTCCCAGACAGGATACTCCTCCTACAAAGTGCTTCCCAGGGGACTTTTCCTTTCAGCAGAAATAGCCAGGAGTTGCCTCTTCAGCACTGCTGGAAGCACTGCAGATACAGAGAGGTTTTCCAGCCGAGGTTTCAGACGTCAGGAGCGTGGGGACCGGGCTGCCCACGAGCTCCCCAGGTCTCCAGCTGAGTCAGGGTTTAGAAAAGGCTGTTTACCAGCACACTCAGCCACACTCAGGCATGCAGAGCTGCAGCACTCCTGACCCAACTTTCCCACAGAGGAAACCATTTGTCACTGCTCTCAACAAAAGCTGCAAACCAACACACCGCCTTGCTTGTGTCCCCTCTGCACACAGAAGGATTTCACACTGCCCACAGCAAAGTCTCACTGGGAGGGAGACACCTGGGCAGCACTTTTCACCAGAACTCCCTCTGCCTCACAGAACAAACACAGCACCTGCTTCACAGGTGTGCTGGCCTGCTCTGAGCAGCCCAGAGCTGCAGAGTTGCAGGGAAAAGCCCCCACAAGCAGCAGCTCCCCCCAGCACAGAGAGGCAGGGAAGGGAGGCTCTTCTCTCAGGCAATTCGTGCTCCCACCTCCACCTCTGCTGCAGCAGGAGAGCCCGGTGACACACGGCTTCGCTTCCCGGGGCAGAACCTGCCAGCACATTACTCATCAGCAAAAAAAGCCTCTGCCTTCCCATGTTACCAGGATGAGGCCATCCTGCATTAAAAAGAGACTGACAGCTTCTCAAGTTTAGCTCATGTAGGTCCTAAGCTTCCAGGGCCAAAAGGGCCTTGCAGATATCAGTCCAGGCAAACCTGTATCACAGATTTCAAAGGAAAAAAAAAATCACTATAGCTGCTAGGTAAAAGCCTGGGTTTGGTGCTCCTCTCAGCAGAACACATCAGAAACCAAGTCTAAAAAAACAGCCACAGACCTATTTTCTTGTACACCGTGGTGAATTCTTACAAATCTGAACACAGGCAGCGTACACAGAGTCCCTTTTCCATTTTAGGGCTCTTTCTGTAAAAGCCAACACAGGTCCTCCCACTCAGCTCTCTCCCAGCAGCTCTCCTCTCCTTCGCCATCAAAACAAAACACTGTTTGGACTGAATCTGCCCAGGATGCTGCGCAGGAGGGACCAGGAGCAGGTCTGAAGAGGCCAACATCTCTCTGAAGGTCGAGGCTAAGGTTACCAGGCAGAGCCATGCAGGAGGTTCCTTACAGCCCCAACAAATGAAATGTAAAATGATAGTTCAAGCAGCAGGGCTGGTTACAATTAAACAAATGCCACCAGCAGCTTGCTGCACTGCAAGGCCTGCACACTTCATGAGTTCCATAACCCCCAGGATTCATTTTTAGGTCTCTAACTGTTTTATTTGGGGAAAAAAAAAAAAAAAAGAAAATAAAAAAGGCAATTGGGATCACCACTTCCCCTAGCAGACATCCCACACACAGAGAAATCCCTCATCCCAGGTCACAGCCAGCCTATGTGCATAACAGCTACAAGGAATTTACTCCAGTGTTTTAATCCTCTCAGCTTGAGATAGGAAAGGAGGTAACAGCTAAAGAAAGTTTAAGTGTGAAGGACACCACTTTCTTTATTTACAACACCTTGTTCTGCACCAAAATATTTGACAATTTTGGTTTGGGTGTTTGTTTATTTTGGTTTTTTTAACTCCCAGCTTAGAAGAAGTGGGAAACAACTTCTAACAACAATCCTCCAATTTCTGAAGCATTTAAAAAAAAAAAAAAAAAAAACCAAAAAACAAATCCAGGAAACCCACACTGGACTTACAGATAGGAAGACCAGACACGTCAGCTTACAGACACCACTGGACTGCAGTTCTGCCAAGGACAGTGAAATACTCGGGAATCCGGGTGTCAAGGAGGAGGCTGGGTGCCCGGGACAGCGCGAGGCCTCCCGTTCAGCTCGGGGAGGGAAAAGCAGCGCTCAGAACGGCACCGGGACCTTACCTTCCGCCAGCACCTCGTCCACCGTGACCTGGTGCCGGCCGATGCTGAAGACCCGGCCGATGTAGCCGCTGCCCGGGCCGCTGCTGCCGCCGCCGCCGCCGCTGGTGCCCGAGCCGGGCCCGGAGCCGCCCTGCTCCCGGCGCGAGTCGAAGAACTTCTTCATGTCTCAGGAGGCGGCGGCCGCCGCGACGCCGGTGCCGGTGTCGGTGCCGACCCCTCCTGGCTCTGCCGCGGCCGCTGAGCGGGGCCCGGGGCCGCTGGCGCGGCGGGGCCGAGCCGCGCTGTCCCGCGGGGACTCACACCTGCGGAAGCAGCGGGGATACCGGGCTGGCGAGTCACGGCCGCGGGCCGCCCGCCAGCCCCGACCCGCGCGGACCCGTGCCGGTACCTCGCAGAGCGCGGCGGATGCCTCCATGCGCCCCGCGGGCCGGCCTGCGAGCCCCACCGGCTCACGGCGGGGGCCGGCTGCCGGCAGCGCCCGGGGCCCGCATCGCTGCCTGGCGGCGTCACCAGCGACCACCGAGCCCGTCAGGGACACGGACAGGGACCGACCCCGCCGCCGCCGCCGCCCCCCGCCGGCCCCATCCGACCAGGAAATGGGCCGTCACAGGAAGTCCCGGTGCTGCCGGGAGCACCGCCCCCGCGCCTCCGCCAGCTGCAGGGCCCGGCGCCGCCGCCCCGTCCTGTCCCGTCCCGTGCCGTTCCTCCCTGTCCCGGGATGTCGCGTCCCACAGCGGCCCGTCCCGCGGCCCTCGGAGCGCCCCGCGCCCCACGGTGCGGCGGGAGGGGGAGCGGGGGCTCGGCGGGATGGCGGCGCCGCGCGCGGCACGCTGGGGGCGGTAGTTCGCCGTGCCAGGCTGAGGGGGGGCCCGGGGGCAGCGGGGACTACAAGTCCCGGCATGCCGCGCGGCGGGACCGTGAGGGGGCCGTGGCGGAGCGGCCGGGCCGCGGTCGCCCCTCAGACCGGTCGGTACCGGGGGCCGCCACAGGGACAGCGGACGGGGCCCGCAGGCTCTGCGTCCTCCTCGCCGCGAGGGATGAGTGCAGAAATCCTGTCCGTGAGGAGCCACGGCCCACATTAGGGCTTTGCACGGTGACGGGTATTTACGTTTATCTTTGAAATAATGCGCTAAAGTGGATGGTTTTGTGATAGAATAATAAAAGGCCACTGCTGTGACATCTTGGCTTCAACCTGAAGCACGAGGCTTGTCTTCACACAGGCCCTGCTAGCGCCTGCTTTGAGAGCCCAAGAAAAAATCCTGAAAGCAGAGATACGCCAAGCCCTCAAAATGCCTTTAGTGTTTCATGCCTGGTAGCTGGTTTTGTAAAACCTGTGCCTTGGGTTTGCTGTTAAATTCTTCCTCCTTCCTGCCCAAGAACTGGCAAAATGCTCATCAGGAGTGCTGCAGCTCCTCCAGAGCCCAAAGCCATTTGGGTCAGGCCTTGGAAAGGTTTCGTTTAGCTCGGGTCTTGGGAAATTCACTTTAAATGCACTTTGGGTTCTTCTCAGAATTTTTTCCTCAGGAATCAGGAGATTTTCCCAGCCTTTGGCACCCAGAGCAGCTGTATCCTCTCCTCACGCACTATTGAGGGCCAGAGCTGGGGTTTCAAACAGCAAATGGAAATGTTAAAATGGCAAAAATTGTTTTTTCCAGAATGAAGCACCAGAATACAAAACCCAAGCAGCACAGTGGCTGCCAAATGAATACCTCCATGGCAACACCACACTCCTTCCTCCCCTCTGACTGGGATGGAATAGGAAACCAAAGCATGGTCCCATTTTCCCAATGACTATTATTTCCTGTATTATGGTAATAACTACAGCCATCCTGCTGCCAGCCCCTGTTCCCAGTGGATAGGCCAGGCCTGGTTGCTTTGGGATGACAAATATGTTACCCTTCACAGAGCCCTTGGTCTCGCTTTGGTCACGGGCTTCCAGCAATGCCAGGGAGATTGGATCAGCCTGTCTGGGTCTAATTGGGTTTTCCTCACAGTGTTTGAAGACCTTTAAGATGCATGTGGCTCTCAGAGCAGGTAAAATTGCTGATGGTAACATTTAGCAAAACACAGATACAGGGATCTGACAGCACATCACTACAGTTGTTTTCTGCTGTGCCTCTTCGCTGTGCATAATGCTACTACACCTCTTGCACCATCCTTGTCCTCAACAGGTCTTAAAGGTATGGGCTCACAAGCCCACCCTGCAGACCCCAAAGTCCTCCTTTGACCACCTTCAGTCACCCATCATTTATAGGGTGGCTCCTGACCACCTCATTTCCAAGTACACCCCAAGTCCACACAACTGGAGCTGCAGTCATTTCAGCCAGGCAGCCAGCACACGTGTGAAAAGAGTCCATTTTCATTTGCAGGCTTAAATCTGTATGAAACATGCTTGGCTGAGCTCTGGGGCTCTGTGATGAATTAACTGCCAGTGCTCAGTACAGAAGGTTCACGTGCCCTTCGGAATAAATATGAACTGAGTAAAGTCTCAGTTGCTTCGATCCATTATTTTAATTTTTTTTTTTAATTTCTCTGACCTGTGAAAATCCCCGGGCATCTCTCAAGACAGGTAAAACACCCAGTGCTAAAAGTGGGTCCCATCACTGGGGATTTCTGGGGACTCTGCAGAACTGAACAATTTCCAAGGAAATTGGGCATCTCTGTACAGCACAGGGAAATGACTCATTTCCAGCTAAAGAAGATAAAAGCCACTGCATGCAGAGAGCTGCAGATGCACTGCCGAGCCTCCTCCCTGGCTCCGAGAGGCTTTTTTTAACCGTACCTGCAGTGCAATGCAGGGAGTGCCAGACCCACGCACGGCTGGGGGCTCGGCTGTTCAGCCCACGGGCGCACAAACCCCACCCATGACCATTCTGGGGAGCAGAAGCCCAGCAGGAGCCATCCCCGGCTGCAGACGCTGAGGATGTTCTTTATTCCAGAAGACACAAGGCTCACTGCACTGCTGCAGTCCCTGTGACCTTCACGGGGATCAGAGGGAGCTGAGCCTGAAAGCTCCAAGTGGAAAAGCTGATCCGTGGCCACAGCACAGACAGGGCCTGGTGCTTCTCCCGTGTTCCCAGGCTTGTCCTGCTGCAGACAGGAACCTCTGACTAATGCACTCAGTCCTAAAAAACAAATTTTAAGCTGCTGAAATCCCATGACGCGAGGTTTAAAATATCCGAGTGTGGTCAGCAGAGCTGCTTCCCTGCACATTGTCTCCCTGATCCCCGGTTCTCCTGCACTGCTCAGAAAATGCATTCAAATCCCCAGGAAGAAGCACATTAATACAGCTGCATCCCTCTTCATCAAACTTTCCAGCCAGCTCAGCATTTTCTAAATAAAAACACAGGCCTGGGCAGGTTTCCTGCGGCCCCCGAAAGGCGAGGGCACACTGGCCCCTTCTGGAGAGCTCCAGGAGCAGCAACACGGAGAGCGGAGCTGGCACAGCTTCCTGTGCTTGCTGTCACTTAACTGGCCAGGGGAAACACAGCCGTGGTCACTTTTTCCTGAATTCACCACATAATAATGAAGTCTTAATCACACGGCAATGTTTATCTTGATGAGGATGTTGGGAGAGCCTTTTTTACACAGTGATAGGGGTAACTGTTTCAAAGTAAGGGAGAGATATTCAGATTAGATATAAGAAAGGAATTGTGCCCTGTGAGGGGGATGAGGCCCTGGCACAGGGTGCCCAGAGAAGCTGTGGCTGCCCCTGGATCCCTGCAAGTGTCCAAGGCCAGGATGGACAGGGCTTGGAGCACCCTGGGACAGTGGAAGGTGTCCCTGCTCATGGAGCCTGGAACAAGATGAGCTTTAAGGTCCCTCCCAATGCAATGCATTCCACAATTCTGTCTCTGTAATTATACATTCACTGCAAAAAACTCTGTTAAGCTTCTCACCAGCAAATAAAAGATCCGCTGTTCTATCCATCTCCCTGCCTGTGATTTTCTGGATTTCCAGGATTTCTTTCCAAGTGCACAGTAGTGGCCCCCAAACACTATTAGCATGATCAGAAAAACCATCACTGATCTTCATCACCTCCAAGAAAACGTCAGTTCTCAAGCACACTATCATGGAGCTGGGCTTTACTGGGTTCAGAGTTGTGCAGAGGAACAAAAAGACTCCAGAACTCAGACCTGTATTTCACATGCTTAAAAACTTCCACCTCCTTGGTGCTGCTGTTTGCCCCTGCAGGACATCCTCACTGGCTCCAGCAATGGCTCTGCTTCCAGGGGCTGGAAGCCAACCTTCCATCCACAGAAGTGGCACACCCAGAAATAAAGGAGCTGATTGAGCTCTGCAAGCTCTCGTAGGTGGGATGCAGCGGCCTGGAGTGACCCTGTGCACAGCCAGGGATGGAGCACTGGCTGGGGAAGAGCCGTGTTTCTCAGGGAGCATGACTGCACCACAGCTCATCTCTGTCCCTTCAAGCAGCTGCTGTCACCCTAAGGGAAGTTTGCAGGTTGGGTTCTCAGGGAGAAGGGATTTATCAGCTGTGTTTCCAGTGTCAGGATCCTGTTGGGGCTCCTCCTGCCCCAAGCTTCCTCACCTGGCTCTGCCCACATCCTTTGCTCACTTCTGTTTAAGCCCAGGGTCAGGAAAAGTCGTCGAGAGCTGGGCAGTCATAGCTCTGTTTCCATCCCCTAGAGCTGGGTTATGGCCAAATTACAGAGCAGCAAAGTAAGATTAAACTCAATGGAGGCAGATACTAATTAAGAAGAAAAAAGTGAAAGCTACTAATTTCCTCTTCATAACTATGTGTATGCTAATGAAAGTAAGCATTCCTTAAGCCCCCTCCCTCTCTGGAGGTTTTTGCTGACTCTTGCTCCCCTTTGGATGGATTCAGGGTCACAGGCAGCCAGCGAAGCCATCAGACCACCGATGGCCCCGGACTGTTTGCATTCCCTGCTGTTTATAGCTTTAGTGAATAAAAGGAAACAGCAGACTGGGCCCGTGGCCAAGTGCAGCCTTCAGTTTCTCTGTGGGAGAAAGGCAGAGTGGGTGGGCATCTCTGAGGCAGTGTCAGCGCAGCATATGCTGGGGGACAGCAGTGTGGAGAGCCCCCCGCAGCCGAGATGCTGCTAGAGCTGTCAGCGTGAGGAGCTGTGAGAGCAGCTGGGATCCCCTCCTGTGTGCCCGCCTGCAGAACACGAGCATCCCCACCTTGAGAACCCGGTGATTGAAGCACTCTTGAAACGGGAATTCGACTCCTGGCTCTCTCATCCCGCAGTGCTCATCGCTGTTTCCCCTTACAGCTCATTGTCTTAGGCAGGTGGGCTCTGGTGTGTGTCCAAGTGGTCTCTTGCTTTAAAGGCATCTTAAGTTACAGGAATTTTCTCTAATCAGTTCTGTTCCTCAGTTCCTTCTTGGCCTTGTGTGACATTTGTGTTTATATAATCTACCCCCCAGAGAGCCTTTGACTTGCATAGGAGTGCTGGTATGCTGTGCTCAGGGTTTTAAATGCCTGGATTGCTAAAAGGGAGAGTGCTGCGCATTCCCCTGATAATGCTGAGTGCACAAGCAGTGTT